AGTGCTCGGGGGAACAGGGACTCCCCCAATGCCTGCTGGTCCCCTCTGACTAGTTTGTAACAGACCACTAGATCCCCCTTCAGCCTTCTCTTGTGGAAGCTGAACAGGTGCAGATCCCGTAGCCTCTCCCCATAAGGCCTTTCCTGCTGGCCCCTGATCATGCAATCAGCCCTCCTCTGGACTCTCTCCAAGTTGTCCATATCCCTCCTGAAGTGCGGCGCCAAGAACTGGACATAGTACTCCAACTGACCAGTGCCGCATAGAGGGGGAGGATCACCTCCTTGGACCTGCTTGAGATGCATCTGTGGATGCATGACAAGGTACAGTTGGCCTTCCTGACCACATCTCCACACTGTCAGCCCATGTTCATTTTGGCATCAGGAATGATTCCAAGATCCTTTCCTGCCCCTGCACTGACAAGAAAGGAGTTCCCCAATCTGTAGGTATGCTGCTGGTTCTTCCTCCCCAGGTGCAGTACCCTGCACTTGTCAGTGTTGAAACCCATCCTGTTCTCATCCACCCACCCCTGTAACCTGTCTAGGTCCAATTGCAGCCTATTCCTCCCTTCTAGCATGCCCACATCCCCACACATCTTAGTGTCGTCAGCAAATTTGAACAGGGTGCTCTTTACCCCCTTGTCCAAGTCGCTGATGAAGATGTTGAACAGCACGGGTCCGAGGACCGAGTCCTGGGGGACCCACTGACCACATCCTTCCAGGTCGAAAATGACCCATCCACCACCACTCTCTGGGTGCGGCCCTCCAGCCAACTAGTGACCCATTGGACTGTGTAGGTGTCGACGCCACAGTCCCCTAGTTTTTTTTTTTAATGAAAATGGGGTGAGAGACAGTGTCAAAGGCCTTCCTAAAGTCCAGAAAGACTATGTCCACTGCTACCCCTGTGTCTAAGGATTTTGTGAACTGGTCATAGAAGGCCACCAGGTTGGTCTGACAGGACCTGCCTCTAATGAACCCATGTTGGTTGCCCCTAAGCATAACCTCCCCTGCTGGCCCCTCGTGGACATGCGCCAGGATAATTCTCTCAAAAGCTTACCCAGGATCGAGGTAAGACTAACTGGCCTATAGTTTCCTGGGTCCTCTTTTGTCCCTTTTTTTGAAAATGGGAACCACATTGGCCCTTTTCCAGTCATCTGGCACCACACCAGAGCACCACGAATGCTCGTAAAGCCGTGCCATGGCTCCTGCAATGACCTCTGCTAATTCCCTCAGTACTCTAGGGTGGAGATCATCAGGACCAGCTGATTTAAATACATCCAGTCCCTCCAGAAGTTCCCTGACTAGATCCTTGCTGACCCTAGGCCTGGGTGCACCTCCCCTGGGTCCTGAGGGGGTCCCAGTGGGTGGGCTGATCTGGTTCCTGCTCAGGAAAATAGAGGCAAAGAAATTGTTAAATAGGTTAGCTTTGTCATCTGGTGCGATGACCAGATTTCCTAGCGTGTCTTGCAGAGGCCCCACATTACCTGGTACCTTCTTTTTGCCCCTTATGTATTTAAAAAATGACTTCTTGTTGTCCTTGATCTGGGTAGTTAGTCCCAGTTCCATCTCTGCCTTGGCCTTCCTGACTGCCCCCCTGCAGCCCCGAGCAACCAAGGTATAGTCCTCCCTGGTGATGGCTCCTCCCTTCCATTGGGTGTACACCTCCCTTTTAGCTAGGAGATGTTCCCGTATGCTTTTGGTGAGCCATGGGAGCTTTTGTGCCCTCTTGCCCCCTTTTGATCCTTGTTGGGATTTACTTCCCTTTGGGCTTGGAGGATCGTCTCCTTAAGGAACGACCACTCTTCTTGGACACCCGACTTCCCTCCCTTCCGGAACCTCAGTACTTCCCCAACTATTCTCCTTACCTCATTGAAGTCCACCCTCCTGAAGTCCAGAGCTGCTGCCTTGCTGCAGGCTTTTGCCACCTTGTGCTGGATGGTGAATTCCACCAGGTCATCACCCGTGGCCAAGACCAGATCCAACAAGGCGTCTCCCCTGGTGGGGTTATGCACCTCCTGGGTTAGATGGGGGTCCTGTATTTTGGCTAGGAACCTACGTGAGCAGTCAGACCTGGCTGACTGCTCCTGCATTTGGGATAACATGTTTTCACTGACTTTTTCCCTATCACTGTTGTAAGTATGTGGGAGTTACAGCCAGAACCATCTCTTGGGGGGTGGGGCAAATCAAGCCAACCGCCCTAGGCCCCACACTAAGGGGGACCCCGTGGACAGTGCCGTACAGGCCCCAAGGGTGCCACCACTCTGCAGCCACCACTGGGGCTTTGCCACCCCCACCCCCCACTCCATGCTCTGGCTGCTCGCCACCACCACCCTGTATACCCCTAGGGTTGGCTCCGGTTACAGGTGTAAGTGCCAACCAGAAGAGTAGAGGGACTTCATATAATGGACTTCATATAATGCTGCTCTAATCTGCGTAAAAACCAAGGATACTCAGTCTAATGAACTTGGGCTATGGTAGTCTTTTGGTGAAGAGAGAAGAACTGAAGAGTTTTTCCACTGTTAAGTCAATAGCTTTTAATTCAGGAATTTGGCTGAAAGTTCAGGTTGTTCCCTAACAGTTGTTCTATCATACAGTCAATGAAAGCAGAGCTCCTACAGGAATTTTGTTTCCACAGGAAAGGAAGCTAAAAGTATATCATGTCCATAGTTCTTCAGTCTGTTTACGTAAGAGAAACCATGTTAGCTTGTATTGATATAACCATATTTGTTGTGTAGAATTAGCTGTGAGCAGCTGGTCAGAAGAAAGGCTCCAAGTAGGGCTGTGCGAAATGGCACCATTCTGTTTCACCTTCAGTTTCGATGTTTTGAAGGAACAGCGTTCTGTTTTGAATTTCATTTCAATTCGAAACAGCTGTTCTGTTCCGTGGAAACTGAAAGGCTGTTTCGATATTTCGCTGGGGGTGGGGAGTCAGCCCAGCTGAGTTGACTCCCCATCCCCAGCGCTAGACCGGGTGGGGGGAAGTGGAGAGTCAGCTCAACTGCCCACCGCACCCCCCCGGTGCTGCAATCGGGTGCGGGCGCAGAGAGTCAGCCCAGCTGGGCTCACTTCTCCCCCCCGCCCTGCGCTGCAATTGGGTGCAAGGGCAGAGAGTCAGCCCAGCTGGGCTCACTTCTCCCCCCCCCAGCTGCCAGATTGCAGGACTGGGGTGGGGAAAAGAGCTCAGGCTCAGTTCCCTTCCCCTGTGCTGTTCTCGGCTTCTGGAAGTGGGAGATGGGGAGAGCCAGGGTTGTGCTCCTGGCTGGTGCTGGGAGTGCAGCCCTGGTTCTCCCCTGTCTCTTGGTGCTGGCTTCGAAATTTGAAACTTTTGAAGCATTTCAGCTAGCCTCTTTTTTGTTTTGAAGCTGTTTCAAATCTCTTCATTTTGATTTGATTTCACTATTTCAAGCTCAAAATTAGTCAAAACAGTGTTGAATTGAAACAACCAGTGAAATTTTGCACAGCCCTAGCTCCAAGCACTTTTACAGTATAGTCATCTCCCAGTTGCATCCCTCTCCTTAGTTTATTGTATTAATAAAGTCTAACCTGCTCCTGAAAGCTTGACTACAGCTTCTATGCTGACCTAATGACACATCCCTAACCTTGGTTCTAGTGCTTGGCTCTAGAGAGACCTGTTGTACTTGGAGTAGCAATTTCAAGAACAGTCCCGCTCATCTCTGAGATAGAGCATGCTCAGTACAGATGGAATCTTTGGAGAATGCTATTGTCATATTCCTATAAGTCTCTACCACGCATGTAGAAACTGATTTTTTTTCAAAGGCGTATTTCTTTGTCAAATTTGAGTGGGATTTTTTTCTTTTGTTTTTGATAGAAACAGCAGCAGGCACATCCCTGGCTGCTAAAAGATGACATTACTGCCAAATGTCAAGTCCCTCCATAAAAGCTATGAGGGATGAAAGCTTCTCAACCCTCCCCCCCCAAAAAAATAAATAAATCAATAAATATAAAACCCTAAAAAACAAACAGCAAGGTTTGTTTTAGCATAGGGAAACCAACTTACAACCTAATCATGTTCTCTGAAATGGTTAAGTCATTTTTGGTGAAATGTGAGCAGAAGAATCAGCCTAAAGCAGACAGGATGAAAAGGGACAATTTGACAAAAGTTTGACAAAATTTTAAGTGACTAAAAACAGGGACTCCAAATGGGAACTGTCAGACAGCTGGTAGTGCAACTATTACCACTATAGGAATAATGAACAGTTATTAGAGTTACACTAGAGATCCAGTTTGCATTGAGGTGATCACTTTTCAAATGTGGTTCCTTTTATATGAGGCAAGAAGCTTTGTGGGTGATGTCTTTTATTGGACCAACTGCATGGTTGGGATAAAGTTAGACAAGCTTTTGAATGTAGGACATTTTTCACTTGGTTCTTCTGTAAGACATCCAGCTATCTTATTCCAACAATGAAACCACCCAATGTGTATTTGGATGTCCTGTTGAGGCACATGTAAAAAGACTATGTTTAATGCCAAACCTAAGAATGACAGTGCAAGTATTCTGAATAGGTGAGACACTTAATATCATTGTCACCATTAATGCATGACAGGTAGAAGCAATATATGTTATGCCCTCGCTGCTGAGCTTGAGAGAGTAGCCTTTGTATTGCCAGCACTGAAAGATTATTTAAGTACTAAGCAAACTGTAAACTATATAATCATTGGCACTTAAGTTGATCTTTTTTTAGATTGCATTGTAGAGATTTCATAATGGAAATTAATGCGGGATGTTTGAACTCCCAAGCTCAGACCCTACAACCACTGTGGGTTTTCATCCCTCCCAAATTATATCATTAGCTGGTAACTAGTTTCACCTGCCTCTATTATTTTGTTTCTCACACTGGCCATTATAACTGAACTATCAATGCTGTCAACAGCGGTGAGCAACCTTTTCAGACCAGCTCAGGTTAAAGGCAGGTGAGTACTAGGATCTGTCTGCTGCCATGGCAAAGGAAAAGTTTCCCTTGCCTGCACTTGTCTCCATTGCAGCATGAAGAAAGCCGCTGCTGCCAAACACTGCTGAAACCCCACATGAATGGGCTGGATCCAAAGGTTCTGTAGGCCAGTTATGTATCTTCCCCTCTCCCACTTCAGGTGCCACTTCTTGGTGTGGTTCACAGGCAGGTGGGGAGCCAGGAGATCTGTCCTGCACTATAGCCATTTGTAGACATGCTCACCATTTTCTAAATCACCGATTCACATCATACAGTTTGAATCAAATTTCAGTTTGAATTCAAGGTTAAAAGATGATCATTGAACATCATGGCAGAGGACCCTGGCTATACACGGTCTATACACTTGACAGTCCCTTAACAGACCCAGTTCGTAGCCTCTATGTATCAGCTTGTGCTTGGAAGTAATTAGGAGGTGATATTAAGCTTGTTTAACCACTGCTACATTTGTTACAGTCCTACTGACAGATATCTAAAGTGCTATATCAGAAGCCATAATGAGTGCAATTGACCTGCAATTGATACTTAGTCATGGTGAGATGTTTTTGGCATATTTGACTTTGTACAGGTGTTACTTTGTGCCTGATATCCTCTGTTGTGTTGCAAAAACCCAACTGAGTTTCCCTTATGGGGATTGATATTTGCAACGTTTATCTGCCAAGTTCCTAAGGAATCATATATACATGTTAATTAATACAGTTTAAATGGCATAATTCAGACTGCCCTCATCTGCATTAACTTTAATCAATAAGGATTAGTTAATTTGTAGTGGAACCAATTTTAGTTTGGACTACAGATGGCCACATGTATATAATGATGGCTGTAGTCCATATTAAACCTAGAAAAATGTAACATCTGTAAATGGCCACAGTCCTGGTATGTAGAGATTTTTGAAAAGCAGGCAGGGCTGTAGTGGTACTTTTAAACCTCCCCAGCTCTGGGACCAAGAAACTGGGGAGAAGCTCCCTGATCTTTACTAAGTGAACAGGGACTTTTAAAGAGTGTACTTGCAGCTGAGCTGTCTGAATCTCTCCCTGGTTACTGGGTCTGGACTCCTGGGGAGCTTTAAAAAATAAAGCAATTTTTTCCAGTTAGGATCCATCTAATTTTATGGTGGATCCCTGGAATTGCATGTCCTACCATGCACATGTGGCAAGCCAGTTTACGCAAATTTTGGGATCGAGCATAAAATTCATAAGATTCCAACTGTGCAAGTAAATTTAATGTCTGCTAGCAGCCGTAGGCTGACATCCACATCAGTCGCAGAATCTACCATTGAAATGCAGGCAGTTTTGCCTGGGAAACATTAAGTATTGGACACACAGCAAGAGTGCTTAGCAGAGAACATGGAGAGTGTCATTTCTAGTTACAGCTGTGGTTGATAATGTAGGTAAGAGTATAATATCAGAGATGGTGAATAGTTGAATTCCTTCTATCTGCATTTGCTTGCTGCATAGCAAATGCTTAAGGATGTTCAGATCTGCAATTTCTGCTAAATGAAACACAATGTCAAAATTAGAAATTAAACTGGAAATTACTGCAGGGTTAAACATGTTTGAATCTGGACAAGAGAGAAAATTAACTTTCAAGTGACAGTATATATTAAGAATGAAATTGGTGTGGCAGCATTTTAAAGCAGGACTGTCCACCTTCAAAGTGGCCAGGGGCTGCACCAATGGGGGGCACACAGGTGCTAGCAGGGGCCATGGCCAAGTCAGGCTGTGTGCCCCACACATGCACATGCAAGTAGCTGTTCTCCTTCCCAATACACTGCAAATGTGGGTGGGGGCTCCATCACCCTGCTGCACTGTGCACACATGTGTAGGCTCTCCCCTGTGTGGTGGGGCACCGCATCTCACTTTCAGCTTCCTGTGGGCTCCCCTGTAACACTTTGCCACATGGGAACTCCAGGCTGCTAGCTCCCCTGGGACTATGGGCTGTGCCATGCTGTGCTGCCTCACCTCCTGGGGCAGGAAGATGCAGCAGAAGCTAGGGGAGGGGTGAGGGGAGTTGAGACTGTGGCTGCTGCTACAGTTAGAGCAATGGGGACAGCAGTGGCTGGGTGGGAGTGGGCCCTGTTTTAGAGTACGAGGTAATGTTGTGTTTGCAGATAACATTAATAAAAACATAAAACTAGATCAAATTTAGTTGTTGACCTATTAAGTGGTGAACTGTGTGTTGCAGTATATCTTATAGATATGTCACTTTTGTTGTACAACAGTTTGATATAGACAAAGAAGCAGGAGAGAGACAGATTTATCATCGGTACTGCATGGAACGAGCCTCAGTACATTGTGCCCATGTGTTCACCACAGTCTCTCAGATAACAGCCACAGAAGCAGAACATATGCTGAAGAGAAATGCTGGTAAGACCTGGACTGAATTCCTATACTGCCTACTCAGTGAGATAAACTTTACCTTGATAAAAATGAGAGTGGCCATGTCTGCATCATGATAAACTGATTTTGCTCACTGGCAGCAGGCTGCACAGTTCTGTCAGTTGCTTCCTAACCCAAAAGGAATGTGGCTGCATCTATGTGTTGCTGTGGGTAGACTAATTTGTTTGGGGGAACTAATTGGCCCTGACACTCAGTAATGCTAATTGGACCACCCAAAGTACTGTGGGGGCACAGTTACACTGTTCTGAGATTGGGATGTGTCCTTGCTGGGAGCAGCATCATGTCCTTGAGAGCACCATTGTTGATGCTGGTAAATTTACCATGTACAGAGTCAGACATTTACCATGGACAGAGTCAGACAAACAGAATGAGAAACATGCACAAGTACACAGACAGGCACATGCATGTGTTCACTCAGAGACCTTACTGCACTGGGGAAAATATCCCTTGCTAGCACTGGGTACGTCTACATGAGACATTTACTGCAGAGCTGCCTAATTAGCTTCACAGTAAAGTTTGCACATCTACATGTGTGACCCTATTAGCCTGTAGTAAACTAATAAACCCTGCCTAGGATAGCACTTGTAAATATAAGCCCTAAATACAGGTACTATCCTACTGTGGAATTAAGTACTGGGGCTGTGCGAAATTTCATGGGCTGTTTTGTTTCGATGCTGTTTCAATTCATTTTGAGCTCGAAACAGGGAAATCTAAATGACACGAAAGGCTTCGCAACAGCCTCAAAACAAAACAAGGGCAGTCAAAATGTTTTGAAACCTTTCGAAGCTGGGCTTGCTTGCAGCTGGGCTTGTTTGGAGCTAAAGAGAAACTAAGGAGGGGGGTGGGGAAAGGACTGCTCTGATACTGACATGTGTAGCAGGCCAGTGACTATGATCCTTCCCTGAGGTCCCTTCCAATCCCAGTGCTCTGGGGGAGGGGCGGAAAAACAGCATAGAAAGCATTGTTTGAACTGATCTTTCTCTGTGCCTTCACACTTACAAGTGACACAAGTTTTGCTCTGAACTGTTTGAGGTGCAGTTTCGCAGAAACCTCTGTACCTATTTCCTTGAAACCTGGAAAACTTCATGAACTCAGCAGGGACTACCATGCCTGCAGTTTTCACCCTATTGTGCCTTAACACACACACATTACATGAGTTTTGCTTGTCAGAGCTTGAGGTGTCTCAGCAGGGACTACCATGCCTGCAGTTTTCACCCTATTGTGCCTTAACACACACACATTACATGAGTTTTGCTTGTCAGAGCTTGAGGTGTAGTTTCACAGAAACCACTGCACCTATCTCCTTGAAACTTGGCAGGTTTGTGGCCTCAGCATGGGGGCTACCACACCTGCAAGTATCAGCCAAATTGGGCAAGAAATGACAAAGTTATAGGCAGTTATAGCCTATGGGCAAAACATTGAAACAGCAAAACAGTTTCAACAAAATGAAACAACAGTGCTTTTGAAATGAAACAAAACTCAAAATGAAACAGTCCTGTCAAAATGGTGAAACAGAAGTCAGCCTCAGTCTGGTCCACCACTTCAAATGACAACAGGTATAAAATAACTTGGTGAGCACTACCACAGTAGCACCAGCAGGATCTCAGGCAGCCAAACTGTGACAGCCTTTCTTTCCACTTCTGCAGGAGCTTCTTCTCCAGTGTGCATGTTAAGGAGCATCCTCCCTATGTGACTGTGTGTGTGTGTGTGTGTGTGTGTGTGTGTGTGTGTGTGTGTGTGTGTGTGTGTGTGTGTGTGTGTGTGTGTGTGTGTGTGTTAAGCCATTCCCTCACTGGCGCTGGGGCATCTACATGACATGGTAATGTGCCTTAATGAGGTCTCCTCCTCCCCTATAGCCTCAGGCTGGTCCACCACTTTAAATGACAACAGGTAAAATAATAACTTTGTGAGCAGCAGCACAGTAGTACCAGCTACCAGTCTCAGGCAGCCAGACTGTCACAGAGCCTTTCTTTTTATAAAAGAATTGAATGGAAGAAACAGAGATATTGTTTTGGATATATAAATGATGTGTTACTTGTGGTGTGTGATGGGTTATGTTGTGTTTTTATGTTTATTATTTAAAAAAAATACTGAATAGTTAGAGAAATATATCTTAGCAAGCTTTTGGGTTGAAAAACCCTTTGTCAGGCTGAGGAAGCAGCTGCAGTTGGTGTGTCTGTGTGCTGTTCCTGGATGGAAGGACTAGTAAAGAAGCTAGGGGCTGGCATGCAATGCAGGCAAGAAAGTCGGTCAGTGAAAATGGAAATGGAGGTGTCAGGGGGTGAGGGACAGGCTGGGGTTGGGGAGGGAAGGGGGATGTAGCAGTACAGGTAATAGTGCAGATGTACCTGGGGAGTCAGATGTCTGACAGGTTGTAGTGTGTCAGAATTCCACTGTGTATATTGAGTCCATGAGTTTCTGTACCTAGTACCTAGGAGGCTGATGAAGTGACATTCATAGGCCCAGCTCTGAAAAGTGGTTTGTAAATTCAAACAAGCACCGAACCTTGCTAACCTAACCTCATCACCAGAACAGAAGTCAACTTCCTACAGCTGAAAATACAAAATCTGCCAACAATCTCCAGTACCCCCACAAACTGCACTCCAGAATCTATCAAAGACAGCAATACCCAACTACCTGTGGAGGCACATTCCTTACAAAAAAACCACTCAGAATCAGTCCTGAGAGACTGGAGACAGAGAGGGAACTTACAAACCACTTTCACAGCGAGGCCTATGAACTTCATTTCATCAGCCTCCTAGGTATAGAAACACAGATTCAATATAGGCAGTGGAATTCTGACACTCTACAACCTGCCGGACATCTGACTCCCCAGGTACCGCTGTACTTTTGCCTGTACTACTACAACCCCCACCCCAGCCTGTCCCTCACCCCCTGATGCCTCCATTTCCATTTTCACTGACTGGCTTTCTTGCCTGCATTGCATGCCAGCCTCTGTCTTCTTTACTATTCCTTCCATCCAGGAATAGCACACACACCAACTGCAGGTGCTTACTGAACCTGACGAAGGGTTTTTCAACCTGAAAGCTGGCATCCCAGGAAGCTAAGCTGAGCTCACTGGGAGCCTTGCAACTCCACGGCAACCAGTAAGCCTCAGGCCTGTCAAAGACATAACGGGTCTGGGCTTTCCCCAGCCAGGACTGTGTGTGTGCATGTGGTAGCTGGAGGTTATAGCACCTCCTACCTGCCTTTCACCAGGGACATTCTTGGTCCTGGCATTTCCTGGGGCTGCCACACCACCAACAGTCCCACCAGGCCTCCCTGACCCTGGCAGAGAGCAGTTTTAGTGGTCATGCCCAGGATCTGGGGCCTCCTCCTTTCCCATAGCCCCAGCCCATACCTCCAAGTTCATCCTGGCACGGAAGCTCAGCAGGGACATGTTCTTCCCCTGCTGGCTGGTGATGTAGTGAGTACCTCCTCCAGCTCTGAGAGCGGGGCATTAAATGTTTTTTTAAAAAGGAAATAGATGCAGACAGAGTGAGGAGGGTGTCATTCACTCTGTCTGCAGCTGGAGCTTGGGGAACTTCAGCAGCAGGAGGTTCACCTTCAGGAGCACCATGGGACAGTTAATGCTAGCATGGGACAGTAGATCCCCCTCTTCCACGACCCCCGCCTCCGCTGTTCTGCCTCCCTGACTGTCTTCACCAGCACCTCCGTCCACTGATTCAGGCTTTGGCTGCTACATACGCTGCCCTTCACCTTGTGTCACACATAGTGCCCAACACATGGACCGTACTGGACCACAAGGGATCAAGCCATTTCCTGATGCCCTCCTTTAGCCACCTCACCAGTGCCTGCATGTCGGGTGACAGTGGCTTGCCCCAGCCAGGAACATTGATCTCCTGGAAGCTCTACATTTGGCTCTGAATTTCCCTCACTATGGGGATCACCTGGCTAAGGAGGGCATTGTCAGGGCTGAGGGCATTGCCAGCAATGAAGATCTGGGAGATGGTATCCCACTCAGTGCCCTAGCAAGGGAAATTCTAAGGAGGGGGAATCATTTGAGTTTGTTTTCCAGACCCCTCAAGTTTCCCCTAGAACCAGGTCTCCTTCCGCAGAAGGCACTTTGTAGGAGGTTGATGTAGAGGTGAAGGCAAGTGGCTCAGCTGAATCCACTCCTCCTGTTGCTGTGCCTCTGGCTGTATCCCACTCAGCTCTGTTCAGGGGGCTGCTAATCCCATTGTTGCTCCACCAGCCTTTCCAGCACCAGGCATGTGGAGTTCAATTGAGTCGCCACATCCTTCATGATTTTGTGCTGTAGGATGCTCAGCTCTGCCTGTTTCTCCCACAGCAACTTGCCTGCCTTGATGCTCTGGGGGAAGTAGCCTGCCACCTTATTGCATTTGGAAATAATTTTTCTGGTGGTGCTGGTGCTGTCACTGGCAGCCCTGTCCCCCTCCAAGGCATCCCTGTCAATGAGGTGCAACTTGTGTGCCAGACAACGGATGTCAGCAAAGTTGACATCACAGACCACCTTGACCATACTGGCCCCATTGTCAGTGACCATGAACCTGCGGGTGAGCCCTCTCTGCCCAGCAAGCCACCCCTGCTCCAAGCAGTTCATGGCCCCCATGATCTCTGATGCTGTGTGGGGCTCATCCATCACCTCGGCTTGAAGGAGTGCCCACCGATGGCCTGACTAGTCATACCAGTGCCCTGTGAGGGAGAGGTGGGTATGATCTCCACCCTGGCTGCTCTAGAGGTCTGAGGTAAAGTGTAAGGCCACCTGCAGACCTGCCTTGTGCAGCTCCTCCCTTAGGTACTCCCTGCATGCCTCATACAGGGAGGTCACCACCGTTCTGCTGAAGGTGGTGCATGTGGGCATTTGGTAGGATGGAGCCACAAGCACCATGAACTGCCTGAACCCTGACTGCTCAACTATGGCGAAGGGCTAGCCATTGACAGCAAGCATCTCCCCAATGCTCTGGGTGATTTTGCTCACCCTT